AATTAATAAGTCATATTAATAAAAGTAATAATAAATATAATAATTAAATTATCTAATCTTTAAACTATACAATATTCCTTGATCTATAGATTGAATAACCAAAGTGGTATTAGGAGGTAAAAAATAAACCTGGACATTTAACAATTCATTAATATTATCAGCTTGATGGCATAACGTGTTGTCCATTAAAAGAAAAATTTTTCGATTAATAATATGCATCATAAAATTGAGCCAATTAAGGTAAGATCTAAAAATAGATCTTTGCATTCACGCTTTTGTATTCCAATAGTACTATACCAGCAATGAAAATTTATTAATTTCTTTGAGAGCACGGGATATTTTATATTTGTGGATAAATAGAATCGGTAATTTTTCATTTTCTGTTATATTTGTCATGACCAGCAGTGATACTCGCTCTTTTGATTGCTTTTTTTCTTTAACTGAACCATATATCAGAGCCCGATTAGATTCAAGCATCCAATATAACACTGTTTCATCACAGTTGAATACATCTTTGGATTCATAATTTTTGATTATGTGAGGGTCTCTCGAAGTCCTCTCTAATACTTAGTTTTTTTAAGACTGAGGCATAATAATTTGGTCCGAGTATCCTTCTCTTTCTACAAAAATAAACTCAATTCCATTTATTAGCATGCACATTCATCTACTCAAACTATACCAAAGTTCCTGTTATAGCAATAGGCATTCACACTATTAACTACTTGAAACTCTTTCAAAGTCCTTTATGGTCGCAGTTTTATCTTCAAATATCAAAACATTTATATAGCAGTTGGTTGAATCAATAGTTGTTAAGCAATTAAATAATTAGCAATAAAATGATTATTTTATTTAGACATTTTCTCTTGCTTTATATACATGCTAGCTTCAAAAAATTATATCAGATATATCAACTATCTAAACTATCGCTGCTATATCTAATTTCTTAACTATATTAATTATTTGAACTATCTGAAATAAAACAATGAAATCAAAGAAAAAAAATATATTACAGATATCTCATTTTCCTCAGATTTGTCATTTTTGGAATCATTATTGCATACACTCATGTGACCATGCAATTTCCCTTTTACAATTATGTCTTGAAGTTGCTGGCAAAACACTAAAATTTCGTTCATATTAATACTGCCCAATTTATCACGTTTTTTATAAAATTTCAAATTATTTCGTCTTTTGAAATTCTTGGCCCAACCAATAGAAACTAGAAACTTATTAGAAACTTTGAATTCTTTAGCAAATACCAAGGCCTTTTCCATCAGCACACTATTACTCAAGTTTAAGTTATTTTATACTAATACATTTTCCATCCAAATTTTCATTGCTTCTTTAATATCTTCAAAGATTGCTTTTTGGACACACTTGAAGTTGGCTAAAGCCATTCCTGATTCAATTTTTAATCACTGTTCTTTTGCTTTGACAATATCAGAAATGAATTGCTTTGATATTTCATATTCAGTGGCAATATCTTTTTGTTTCAGTGTTTTGTCAGCCACCAAGCATTCACAAATCTCTTTTTTTTGAAATGTGGTAAGAGAAACACGAACTTTTTTTGACTTTTCTGTTGAATTATTTGTCATTACTTTTCATTTTGTATTTCTAGTATCTGCGACTTCATCTGTTGATATTTGGATAGGTGGAAAGTCCAAAAAATATTCAGGAGAAAAGGAGAAACAAGCAAGTTCTAGTTCAGTAATAGTTAATTGGTATTTGGCAACCATAAAAGTTGTAATTTATGATTGGCTGGTATGTTTAATAGCTAAATTATATCGGATCTGCTTTATTATACTAGAGTTCATTTTATTATACTGGATTCACTTTAGCTACAGTACCTCTATAAAAATATACTTTTCGATAAGAACCAGCATAAAATAAACTCAAAAAGGCAATAAAAGTAAAGAGTCCAATGTTTCCTATCAGCACTGTTATCAGAAAATATCAGTTATAGAACTTTGGAATCTTTGCAATTTCAGATTGTTGTTATGATTAACCAATTTTGCATGATCATTGATCTAAAGGGATTTTATTTTCTTTAATGTATATACACAGCTCGGCTAATGACACCACATATATATAGGCTTTGGTTTTGTTGGATTCTTTGTATATAATGAGACTGAATTGTAACAGGTTTACTTATGATTTCAGTAACAATCAATTTCGTCATTACTAGGGTTCGAAGATTCGCTTGATAAAGTTTGATCCATTTTTCCAGCAAGTTATAGATCAAGCAAATAAAAACATTATAAATAAGTAGGTTTTAGAGAGATTTTATTTTTTACCTTTTCACAAATTTTTTAAGGTACATATTATATTATTCTCAACAAGAATCTTTATCTAGGAAATAAAATCCTACTCACTATAAATCTTTATTTTTAGGAAATGAAAAATGCCTTTCAGTGGTGAAGAAGATAATGATATGCTTAGTGTCAATTTGAGATATTATAAATTTCATAATAGAAATGTAACTTTTATGTTTGAAATCTCCAAGGATAAAACTGTCTCTATGTTGGAAGAAGTGGTTAGAAATAGAATATCGCTTCACTTTCCTATTAATCCTCTTCCTTATAACTTCTATCTTCAACAAATTTATCCTGAAAATCAAATAAAACCTATAGAAGTAGAGGATAGAATCTTTAGCTATTTTAATGAAAATCTCTCTAAAAATTTTATTTACATCATAGTTCAATTCTCATTAAATAGTTAGATTTTTTCTATTTGTATTCGCACCATATAAATGCAATATATATTTTGCAAATTTATTTTTTTGTATCTGCCTTATTACTGGCAATATTTTTCATTTCATAATAATAAAACAACTATGCATTAGGCATATCCCAGTAATAAATGTATCACATCAGATCCAACTATCTCCTGATCTGTTTGTATAACTTCTCACATAAATATAAAACCACCGATTACCCAAAAACAGATATGATAAAACCGATTATCAACAATTACCTATCTCCCTTCCCATACTTCTTTTTTTTGCGAAAGTAATACTATTCTTCTCTTGCATAGCAAGGCTACTTATGTGGTGAGTAGGACTCAGCTCTAGGAATTAGTCCTAATGGCTCATTGAGTAGTGTTGCTTTTGTATATTCTTGCTTATTAGTTAATACACGAGTTATAATATATTCCAGATTGTCGTAAGGAAGAATTAAGCTAGCAATGAACACATCCAAAGTTGAAATATTCTATGATCTAAAAAAAGTAAGTTAAGTGTATATTTGGGATATGAATCATCAAATTACGATTGTCTTATTGATGAGTAGAAGGAGTCCAAACTAGCTTTCCACTTAAATACTAAGTTATGAGATATAAAATAATTTGAAAGTTTCTACAGTATATCAAAATTTTATTATTTTTTGATTTGTAATGAAATATATCAATGCAATACCATTTCCAAATATGTATTATTAGTATAAAACTTAATCGGGTACCTGAGAATCAATTGAAAGTAAAACTTGAGAATATATTCAAACCCAATGAATATCAGAAGATTTTTTTTTAGCAATCTTATCAGTAGATATGTGCACAACTATATTAAATTGGATAAAAATCCACAACCCTAGACTTTAATCGATCCAAAATTTACTTTTATTGAAAAGTTTTTAAAAAGAAGGCAAAAGAGGTTAATTATCCAGAGATTATTACAAAACAGATTGTTATCTATGGATGATATAAACCAGAATACTTATTATATATTGGAGTCCACTTTAATAAAATCCATTTTATCAATCATATACTACTATTAGTATGTTCGTAAAAATTAATCCAGATCCACTATAAGTTTTTTATTAATAAAGTCTGCTATACATATTATTGGAATTTTTGGTTTCCAAAAATAGTCCGTACTAAGCAAAATATATTATAATGATCATCCGTTATATCTACTTTGACTATGTATTTTGTTTTTTTATATTTTTTATAATTTTGCTTTTATGAAATTTCTTTATAATCTATATCTTGAATTATATTAAAAGTTGAAATATATATTTTTTCTATTAATTTTTGTAAATAATAAATAGGAATAAAAATTATTTATTATTAATTTATAAATATTTTTTGTAATTTTGTATAAGAATAAATATTAAAAAAATAAAAATTATGTTTTAATTTTAAAATAATTAATAAATTCTTAAATAATATAAATACTTTATATTGTTATACCTTCAACAAACTATTTTTTAGGACTTCTAATGATATTAGTTTGATATCTATTTGATACCAGTTTGTTACTTAAATTTACTATAGATCAGTACTACTATCTTTTTTTTTTTTTTTAGGTAAACAGGCATTTAATCATGATTTTTATTAAATATTATATTCAAATTATATATTTGAATAGTCTTATATATACTAATATTACTAATAACTGTAAGTTTAACTATAATCAATCTATCTATATAACCCAATTATATGAGAAGTGGGTTCATATATCAGATAGGATTATACAGAAGATAGAAATCCTGTTACCAATTTTAAATTACCTAATTTATTAATTCATTTTTTGAAGAATATCTTGAAGAAACATATATTAATACTTGATAGATCATCTATTACATTATACTTCTAAAACTATATAGCTATGAATAGGGATTCTGCATGTGAATGTATCTTTTAATAAATGCTCTAAAACTGTAATTCTTGATTAGTACAAGCTACCAAATCTAGAGGCATAAATGTCAAGTAGGATGCATTATTAATCTTCTAGTAAACATTCCAAGGGAATTTTATTAGCTTAAGTTGTCAAATATAGAGATATAAATGCCAAACAGGATACAACTCCTATATATAAATAGTATGAACCCATTACTTATATTATATGTTAATATTCAGGTAAATACTCTTTTCAAGACTTCCTATTTTGTATTAACATATTGTACTATAGAGTCTGCTGTGCCAAGGAGGATGTGGACTTATTACCGGAGTTAGACCAGAAGCCTTTTCTCATACAACCTTTTCTACTTTAACCTGTTTTTAGTCTGCAATTATTAGAAAGATCAGAGGTCCTATCTTCATGCAGCCTAACTAAATTTGATCAAGATTCAGATGTTTGGGTATTATATTTGTAGAAAAACTAAAAGCTTTACTATCTTTATAATATATTAAAATAATTAATAATAATATTTTTACTATAATTTCAACAAATAGTTAAATAAAATTTTTTATTACAACTGGTTACCACAGGATAGATCGCTTTTCATAACAGAAAGGGTAACAGATCCAAGAAAATGGGACTGGCAAGTAAGTTTGGATGAGATCAGCAAAGAACTCTATTGGACCAGAAACAAAGGTACACTAGCAAACAATAACAGGGAGATAGAGTATTACCAAATCAGTTCGGGCAGACTCCCGGGAACAACAGAATTTATCAGGACACAGTTGGCATACAGAGATATTAAAGAAAATCATAAGCTCACATTTGCCTGGATCAACAATATCAAAAAATACAGGCGAAATAAGAAACCAACTATTCCAATAGATGTTCATATATTAGAGAATCTGGTCATAGCTAAAATGGAAAAAGCATATCCACAAGACACATTCACATCCAAACTCCAATTCGTAGAAATCGAAGATTATGGTAGACAAATCATACAGGACAATGTACTTGCAGGGGATCTTTGTGAGCTGTTACTTCAAGAATACCACCTTAATGTAACCAAAAACCACGCAGGCCCCTTTTAATTCTATACAGATGGATCGCTAGGACACACACAAGATCGATCCTTAAGAATGGGTGCAGCATGGATACAGACCAAAGGACCCAACCCTGGAAGATCATTTCAAGCAGTTGTAGACAATTGGCCCTCTTCAACTAGAGCAGAACTGGTAGCAATCATCCTAGCAACCCTGACAACACCAAATGACAGTATAGTAGAAATAAGAACAGATAGCTTTTCCTGTATAAATTCTTATGCAAATATTATTAAACCGCATCCTAAAGATACTCTTAAAAAACAAATGAAAAAACCAAACTGGCAACTCTGGTTAAGACTGGCTGATATAATAACGAAGAAAAAGGTACAACTAAAGCTTACCAAAGTTAAGGCACATAGCAAAGACTTTAACAACAACCAGGTGGATCAGCTGGCAAAGAAAGCAAAGGAGGAATCAGAAATACAATGGAGGCCTCTTTTCACAACAGTTTTTATCACAGTGCCAGAATGGAACAAGATCCCTATTGACACCTCAACCAGAGCATTTCTCAAGGATTATAATGAAAGGGAAATTCTCATACAGTGGACATCACAAAATAGGATCCAGCAAAGATGAAAGGAGGAAATCCAAAATCCCGAAAAATTTGACTGGAAAGGTCTTTGGGATCAATGCAAAGAAGGAGGGTCTCTCAATACCTCACTCAAAGCGGCAGGGAATAGAACATTCAAGACCAGACTAATCCACAATGAACTCCCAACCATGGATACTTTGATCAAAAGAAACTCTCTGGAAATGCCCAACAATTTATGCATGCTCTGTCAACACCAAGAGGAAACTCTAGACCATCTGTTAACATGCAAGGAAACAAAAGAAATCAAAAAGGACATCTGGCATCAGGCTCAAGATAAACTCATAAAGTTATGGATTCCACAACATGTTGACAAAAAGGTGGATGGAAAGAAATTAGCAATAAATGCGCTTTTTAGAAAATGGAGAGAGGAAGAATCTGATTCGACCAAGGAATTAATCAATATAACTATTGATCTATGGGCAAAAGAAGATGTAGAAGAGTGGACCAATACTCTCCAATCCCTGAAGATTCCTAAAGTCAAAGCCAGAAGAATCCTCAGCAAGCTCTCCAACTTCTGGTGTGAAAAGATAAGACAGGCGATCTGGAATCCAAGATGTGAAAGGATATAAGAGCACAAGAAGAGATTTCTGGACAAAGGTAAAAGAAAGAAGACCGTTATACAAAATCGGAAAGCCAATGACACACAGGGCTCCCAGGGGAAGAAGGACGTGACACAGCAAGACTCGTCAAGCTCCAAAATAGCAACAGCCCCCCAGACAACAACAGACAGTCCCAACCATACCCCTGGACTGGCAAGAATACTATGGGATAAGATAAAGGAAGGAAAAAAGTGGTTAGGAATATGAAGTAATCAAGATTTTGCCAAGGTGAACTGTAGTGATAAACTGCAGGCTATGAACTTGAGTTTCCTTAGGAATGGGAAACAAGAGGGAGCAACTTTATTCATCTCCAAGATCATATCTAGAGGTTAATTGCCTAAGACGGGTATTCAAGTATAAGTAATTAGTTTATGCATAACAGTCAAATGTACGATTATGTCTTCTTCTAGAAAGATTAAATAAACACAATAAATATTTGTTTGATTATGGAAAAAAAAAAAAAAAAAAGTTAAATAAAATTTTTTATTATAAATAGAAGATACGGTGCATTGTAAAACTTTTTAAAATTTTTTATTTATTCATTATTCAAAAATTACTGCATAAAAATTAATAAAAAATATATCAAAATAAAGCTTAAAATTTAGAAATTTTATTAATTTATAATTAATAATTAATTCTTCACTATTATTTTAATTATTAATTTATATCTTTCTTTCATTGAACTTATAAGATTAATTATAATCCTATTTGAAATTTTTTTCTATTCTTCTATTATAAATTGTCTAATTCTAAAAAATTTTGAAATAATTTTATTTCTACATTTCTTTTAATAATAGATCAAAGATTTTT